TGTATATATTTATAACGACGCATGAATATCTATTTGTTACATGAGTTGAACTATAATTATAATTTGTAAATAGCTAACAATTTATTACAATTGAGACATCTTATTTTGATCTTTTGCTTTTTTAACAGTAACTAAATTGAAGTAAAGATTATAAATTTGATGGACAACAATTAGTTGAAATTCTTTACAACTTTTTTTTTTATCTTTAAACAAACAGAGTTGTGTTCAATCGAAGACATATTGGTTTGATGAACACTAAATATGGAAGAATATAAAAAATTTTCTTTCATGCTTCTGTTTTATTTTTTATTTTTATTTTCAAAATTTAGTGTTTTGATATTAATTCTAGATTTGATCATTTTATTAGATGATAGAAGCCTTTTTTGTTTTTTATTCTTTTATTTAAATATATAATATTTTTTTAATAAATGACTCTGTGACAATATGACTCTAAATATGATCATATTATATATTTGTATAATATATAATATGATATCAAACTAAATAATTATGTTTTTTGGTATAAAATTGAATAAACTGAAAACCGATGGTATATAAACGAAATCAAACTGAAGTACATATAGATTTAGAGTAGTAGTTATATTTTAATGATCGAAATACCAAAAAATCGAGCCGAACCGAAACCCGATATCCGGATTGAACACCTCTAATCCGAATGAAACCGAACTATTGTTTCATTTTGCAAAACATAATAGAAATAATAGCTTCATCCCGAGCAAGGGGCGGGTCTTATCCTAGTTAAACATTAATGCAATTACAACTACAAGACTTCCCAGTTCACACGCAAATCCAACAGTAATTGATTCAAAGCTGGAACATGAATACAAACATTTCAAGGATTGGATCCAAAATGGTTTCGCTGGTTTGATCTTGGATCAACTCTTGGCGACGGTGCATTGTATCCACTCAGCATCTCTCTGATCTTTGAGTACATCACTGACTGTGACGCCTCACCACCACCACCACTACCACCACTTTCTTGCTCTTTTAACTTCTGAAACAGATACTCTTTCTCTGCCTCCGCCTCGCTCAGCCTCTGTTTCAGGTAGTTACTCGCATACTCCTCCTCAGTCTTCTCCTTCTTAGCTTTCACAATCCTCTCCAACCTCTCTGCTTCCATTTTCGCCTCGTTTGCTTTCAACTGAAACATCTCTGCCTCTGCTTGTTTCAGCCTCACTATCCTCTCTACTTCCTCTATCTGTTGCTTCTTCTTCTGCCTCTCCATCTTCAGCTCAGCTACTTCTTTTGCCTTCTCCTCCATCTCTCTCTCGCATTCCTCAAGCCCCATCCTTGCCTTCTTGTACATCCTTGTCTTCTCCTCACCAACTATCTCCATTTTCCTCAGTGTCTCCTTTACAACTTCGGCTATGCGGTTGCATGCGTCTTGTGGTGCTATCATTCCTCCACCTTCTCCGTTTTCAAGGCTCTTTGGAGAGTCCAACTCAATTTCTTCACACAGACAAAAACATGGTTACAACTTACAACAAAACAAAACCAACTTATGTAATTGTAAGGTGAGTGTGCTTACCTTGGAAGAACATGAGTATCAATTTGGCAGCAGCTGTTGCATCAGCCAAGCCACCTTTAATCTTATCAATAATCTCCTCACACTTCCAAAACAGTTTCCTTCCTCTTGTATCTTCACTTCCACGGAAAATCCTACGTACAAAATCAAGCTCCTTCATCAAAGCCTCCCTATCCCAGTTCGGTACACAGTGATGAAACACATCTTTAACCCAACCAAGCAACTCAGAGGTATGGTTACAAGCTCTACACTTGAACAGCATCTCCCCCATCCCAGACACACTCTTAGCCGAAACTCCCATCGAAATCTCTCCATCTCTAATAGCACAATCCGTATGAGTCCAATGAGAACACACATCACAACCAATCCAGCGACACGTGTTCACAGCAAAGTCAAACTTGCTACAGATCACACACATGCAAAGGTTGCAGAAGCCTTTCCTGTTAGTGCATATCTCACAAGGACAGTCATCAGCTGGGAGTTCGTTTTGGCAAGCTATGTTTCTGCATCTCTTGTATAAAAAAATCTCGATGAGATTTGTCTGAGAGAGATTGATGTTTGGGTGCAAGAAAGCTTGGATACCAGTTTTCATAACCACAAGGATCTCAAGCTGCACTCTGTGAGTTCTCACAAGTGTCTTCGAGTTCAAATCCGGACGTGTCTGAACAAACTTCTGAAGAAACATAAACTCATCACTGTTTCCATCGAGGATAGCTTTAAGCCCGTTCTTTAAATCCTCGAGATATCCTTCAGGTAATCGGATCATCCTCTCGGAGACTAACTCCACTCTCTCTCTAGCTATGTCATGTAGTGACACCTTGTGGATAACATGTTGGTCGTGCGAGTCAGGACCTCCTGACTTTCCGCTCTCTGTCTTCTTTGGAATGATTGACTTTGAGGTTGGCCATGTTTCTTGAGAGCTGGCGCTTTCGGCTGGTGATTCACGGACAATGCCGGAGCTGGAACGTGATAAGTGTGGTGGTTCAGAAGATGCAAGGGGGAGAACAGTTTGTAGTTGCTGACGTGGTGGTAGCATTTGGTGAGGTAGATTTGATCCTGATGATGCTCCCATCAATTAAATCCTACAAAGAAATGAAATTACATTTAAATTAAAATTAAAAACCAAAGGAGAAACCTTTCACACACAAACACAACAGTTACGTGTGCAAATCAGACAATCTAACTGAAGTAAATAGTTTTGAGCTAATAAAGATTGTGTCTTTACATCTAGAAACTCACACCGACAGAAGAAAACTACTTCCTTTTTGTTTAATTGAGCTGAGATTAAACACTAGTGGAAGCTCAAAAACACAAAAAAGACAGAACAGGGTAACAAAAAACAGGTGTTTGATGGAAAGTTTATAGAATCTGTCTGCGACGTGGATTGAACGCTAGAAAAGTCAAACACGAATCTTTTTAAATCGGGAGATACTTGCAAGTACCAATACACATTCATAAACTGAATCAAACCTTAAAACTAAGCTAAGCACCTAAATCGATCGAGAAAGGTATGGACTTTATAACTCCAACAGCTAAAATATCCAACTCTTTCAGAAAAAAAAAAAAAAAAAACAGAGAAAGCTACAAAACATGAAATAGAAAAGGGGAAAGAGTTGCCGGAAAATAATATAAGGACTCACCGGAGAGATGTCTGGAGAGAGCGTTACGAGTCGCAGAGGAGGGAGAAGAATGGTGTGAGAAAGACCAAAGGGAAAGCTTAGAGATAAACAAAAAATTGAAAACTTCTTTTTCAGCTATTAAAAGACAAAGACGTACAGCTGCCAGTTTGTAATATATAACGGTAACCTGACCAGCCGGTAACATGTGTTGACTTTTGAGCGCGTTCTAGCTTCCCAATGTTTACGTCGGGCCCCAGTGTTTCAGACAAATCAACTTCATACGGAAAACAACGCCCCTATATTTAATTTAAAATAACAGGGAGTCCCAAATAGTTATAGTTTCGTGCAATTAAACCCCAAATCTTCAATCTCTCAAATTTTATTCGAGTTATACAAAAAAGCATAACGTTCTCAGTCTGTTCAACATTGATAGAGAATATTTATGGACTCATTGCTTATTGTTTGCTAAATTCAGAATCCTGGAGTTCTACTTATGCTGCTGCTATAATAAAAGAAGAAAATGATATGAGAACAGAAGCGTAGCAGGACAGGGATGTTATTAGGCTTTTGTTCATTTCTTCCCATCCACTTCGACTGGTTCAACCACTTCAGCTTCTAACAGCTCTGCATTGTGAGAATTTGGGACATGCTGCTGTGGCTGGACCTCCTCAGGGCTTGACCATTTCCCGGAAAGAGCAACACCCATCATCTCATATATCTTTCCACCGAGCTCTGCTGGATTCTCAGGCTGTACATATTCAGAAACAACAATTAAGGTTTTACCAATCTTATCACATCTCAGTTTAAAGAAGAGAAGGAAAGAACGTGTTGGTATAGACTACTAGTAGAGGCTTACCGTGAACCCACTAGAAACTAGTGCTGCATCATACATAAGATCTATGGCTTTCATCGCATCTTCATCATTTGGGTTACTCTTGTAAGCAGCCTGTGGAAACAAGTAAATAGGTCCATATTATATACGCGGCTCTTTAGATTTATTCTGAGTGGTGAATGATTGGTGACATTACATTTATGTTCTTGATAATCGAGTGGTCAGGATTGATCTCAAACACTCTTCTTCCTTTCATGAACTCGAGGCTTGTTGTGTCACCAGATGATTGTTGCTTCATTAGCCTATCCAGATAACAGATTCTCTGTTAGTTCACGAAAAAAAAACAATGGACAAAACAAGTTCGAACTTAGTTAAAAAAAAGTTAGATCTTACCTCTCCATGTTGGCTGACCAACCAAATTTACCAGACACAAGAACACAGGGCGATGAACTAAGACGGCTCGAAATTTGAACACTGGCAACCTTATCGCCCAACCGTTTCTTTATCCAATCACAAGTCTGCCCAAACTCCTTTTTCGCAGCTGCTTCTTTCTCCTCGTTCTTGTCACCTATCAATAAAAGATCACAGCCAGAAATTGTTATTATGCGCTCAAGTTTGGTTAAGGGAATTGCATCCAACACTTGCCTAAGTCTAAGTCTTCTTTGCTGATGTCGATAAAGTCCTTATCCTTGTAAGATTTCAAGCTCTGTATGGCAACTTCATCAATGGGTTCTACCAGATATAGTACCTAATAATCACACAACACAGTATATCAATCAACTATTCATCTCAGAATCAATACGAATATCTGCAAGGAGGTAAGAAGTGTTACCTCAAGTTCCTTCTCCAGAAGCTTCTCGAGGAAAGGTGCATTCTTAGCACTTGTGATGCTGTCGGAAGCAATGTAATATATAGCTTTTTGTTCAGCTTTCATATTCTCGACGTATTCATCCAAACTGATCATGTCATTCTCACTCTGGGAGGAGAAAAATCGAAGCAATGGAGCTATACGCTTGTGGTTCTCACGGTCCTCGATGCATCCCAGTTTTAGATGTTTGCCGAAATTATCCCAAAACTTTTCATAGTCCTGTGTAAGTAAACGGTGAAACAGTGTCATTCTCACTCGTCAGGAAAATCACCACCAGAACATTGCAGCGATTAGTAAAGGGACAAAAGAAAGAGATAAAATCTAAGTTAAAGGGATCAAGAGTTCTGATACATACTTCTCTATTTTCACTCAAGGAAATCCCCAAAATCATATCAAAAGCTTTCTTCACAAGACGTTTCTTCATGATCCGCACCTTTGAAACACACAACACAAAAACGTAAGATTAACAATACATGACACATATACCTAAACGAAACAATATCAAAATACATGACACTTGAAGGATTTACATAAAATAGATATTATCAAACTTACAATGCGACTTTCTTGAAGAATTTCACGGGAAACATTAAGTGGGAGATCGTGTGAGTCCACAACACCCTTAATGAAGCTCAAGTACCGAGGAAACTGTTCATAAAGCACCACAAAAGTTAGATATTCAGTACAAAATAGAAAGACAGGTTTCATTGATAGACCACACCAAGAGAAACTATTCTCACCAGCTCCCCGTCAAAATCATCTGAAATGAAAACTCGTTTTACATAGAGCCTTATGTTCTTCGTCTTTTGATTAACCAAGTCATCCTTCCCCGTTGGTGAAATAGGTGGCACGTAAAGGATAGACCTAAACTCGACCTCACCCTACAATAAGGACATTATCAGTAAGAGAATTTAAGAACAACCTATCAATAGTGGATCAACGTGGTGTCACCATTTTAAACAGCTACAAGGCATAATATTTTTTCGGTTGTTTAATGGAGATGTACTATTTCAACAGATGTTTTCCCTCAAACGTACCTCTGTTGTGAAGTGGGATGATGCCAATGGGTCCAAATACTCGTTGAAAGTTTTCCTGTAAAATTCATTGTATTCCTCTGTAGTCACCTCCTTAGAATTCCGGAGCTGCAATGAATATAAACAAACTCGTAAAATGATTGCATACTTTATTATATTAAGTGCCCATAAGATAAAGCGAGCGATCCTTACCCAAATTGGCTGCGTCTCATTAGTAAGCTCCCAATCCCAGTATCTCTCAACAACCTTCTTGGTCTTCTTTTTTGTCTGTCATAGGTAAAAGAACATGAACTCTAAGTATCTAAGTTAACTACCCTTGCAAATCTAGCTATTCTCTGATTCTAATAGATATATGTATCTGATACTGATGAAGAAAAGTCTAAGAACAGGCAAAGAGAAGCAAGTATACCTCAGTCTGGTCATCCTGGTCATCTTTTTTTGACTCAGCTGTATCATCTTCAACTTCAACCTGTATAAGAGAGGACTTGTAGACTGAGCAACTTGGGCATTTATGCTATATTTTAGTTTAGATATATGCCATCATGTTGATCATACCTCTTTTGTGTATCCCTTTTCCTGCCACGTGTATATAGGGAAAGAAACAAACTGAGAATAGTTTTTCACGAGCTTCTGAACACGCTCTGGATCCGCATATCCTTTTTCCTCCGGCTAGGCACCACAAGAAAACAACGAGACAGTTTAGGATGTACGGTTTTTATGAAAAAAATAATACTTCAGTTGCGCTACAAAAAAAATACTAAAGCATAACGAACCTTAAGATGCAAAGTAATACGTGTTCCTCTAGGAATGAGTAACTGAGGATCAGTCTCTTCTTTAATAGTGTAACTGCTTGAATCTGCTTCTGATTCCCATACATATTGCTTATCAGACTTTGGGCTCTTCGTTGACACAGTGACCTTCAAAATATAGAAAAGTGACACATTATTTAGTTGTGGTCGAGAGATGAGAGCCTATCAATGATCACAGCAAAAGAAGTTAGTTACCCGCTCTGCAACCAGGAAGGCTGAATAGAACCCAACACCGAATTGACCAATTAAGTTATTGTCACCACCTGCATCCTTGTTATCCTGAAATAATTACAAAAAAAAGGGTTAGCTATTCGTGATTCCCAGGTAAGATTGGGGAATAATCATGGAAGCGAGTAAGGACCTTAATAGCTTTAAAGAACTTGGCAGTTCCACTTTGCGCGATAGTCCCAAGGCAGTCAACTAATTCTTCCCGTGTCATACCAATACCTGAATCACTGACAAAGTGAAAAAGCAGAGATACCAATAGTTATTCTCTACTCACCAATGCTCTATACTTTCAAAGAAGAAACTATTAAGACTTACGTGAGGGTTATTACACCATTCTCCTTGTCTGCATAGATGCGTATATCAAGATCAGCAACATCCTTGGAGAGATCAGGGTTTGTAACGCTCAAATAACGCAACTTATCCAACGCGTCACTAGCATTACTGCAGGAAAAAAAATAAATATTTCTTGTTAGAAAATCGAATTTAAGAGCCCGTTCTTAGCTTTTTTTAAGTTAAAAGTTAAGAGACGGTTTATTTTATTCCGCTAAGAACCCCGCCGTAAGAACCTCCATTAATCATGCTCTTAGCAGTATAAAATCAGGAGAGAGGATACATTACCTGATAAGCTCCCTAAGAAACACCTCCTTGTTACTGTACAGACTGTTAACAATAAGGTCCATGAGACGACTAACCTGTCATTTGCATCAAACATGAGTAACACACAGACTTGATCACAAACATAAAGTCAACGTAACAAAAAAAAAGGTGAACGTACTTCAGCTTGATATTCATATTTCTCAACGGGTGGAGGAGGTCCCTGAGAGGAAGAGTCTGATGCAGCTGCAGTGGATTCGTACCGGTTTCCCGTAAACCGATTGGTTTTCATGTTTAAATGAGCCAATGACTCACTCTTCCTACAGTTTCCATTGGTTAACGACGAGTACCATCTCGATTCAATGTCACCTCTCTTCACATCCTAACACAGATGAACAAAAAAAAAGAGAATCAGTAAAATGACACTATGACTTAATCCAATTACTTAATAACCAAAATTGGCAGTGTGATCTAATTACATCTGGTTTTTTTATTTTTTTGGTAACTATGTGATTCAGATTGAGAAAACTATAAGAAAAGATCGGAAAATGAAGGGAATTGAGGATGATACCGTGGTAGATGGGGAAGAGCGGGAGATCGAAGTCGCGGCGCCGACGCGGAAGCTTCTGTCGCCGGAGCGTAGGAGGGTGGAGACAGAACGTTTTGAGAGCCTGAGCATCGTCGCAAGCTTTTAGAAAAACGATAGAAGAAACAATTGGCGGAGAAGAGGTTTTAGTAGGGTTTTTGAGCTCAAGGCGAAGCCTCTGGATTGTGAATGGTAGCCCTGGGCACAAAAACCGGAACTAAAAAAACGAAACGAAACCGAACCGAAATACCCGAAATCGAAACCGGACCAAAATTCTTAAATATCTGAATGGTTACTATATTTCTATACCCAAAAAATCAAATCGAAACTAAACCGAGAACCGAACGAATACCCAAATAAAATAAGTTGAAGTTTTTTAATATAAAATAAAATGACATCAAATCCACTTAGACTCATGTTAAATACAAAAAGACCACATATATTTTATTTATTCTCTTATATTATATATAAGTATTTTGATATTAAAATACGATAAATATTTATAAAATTAACACTTTATTAATTTGAACTTTTATTGAATTGACTAATATGTAAACTTGTAATCATTTAAATTAACAAATTAACTAATATATTTTGTATATATATATATATGTGTGTGATTTATATATTAAACGAGTACCCAGAATCGAATCGAAACTGAATTGAAACCGAACCGAAATCTCATAAATACATATTGCTTATAAGAATGATCTATCCGATATATCCGGAACCAAATAGTTCCTTTCCGAAATCGACCCGAATATCCGAATGCCCAGACCTAGTGAATGGGTAATTATTAGTTAAGTACGGTTTACGGATAATTATAATCGACTCTGAGGCATCGAATCCGGTCCGATTATAAACCGGGATGGAGTGTTTTTTCCTTTTTACAATCCCAAAATGGCCAACACCCAACACTATGCTTTAAACAAGTCATAAATGAATTGAGCGTCGTCGTGATAACCAGACCCTCCTATGTTGTCGTTTTTGTGGTTCTCTTCAATATCATGTAGAATGTGATCATCATCATCCAAGAGGATAATAGAAGTACTAATCTCTCCAAACAAGAAACATGCAGTGCGCTATATGCCAAAAACTAGTCTCATCTCCATGATACTTCTCAGGACATTTGGACCAAGTAAATGTTTGACGTTATCTTTGACAAAATGTTAATACCCAAATAATTACATTCCAAACATGTTAGTTAACTAACAGGAGAGGGAGAGAGAGAGAGCATATTGTATGAACAAATTACTACTTCGTATTAGTCATACAATTATCTGTCGCATAACAACATATTGCACAATCCATACGCGTAAACATTTAGAGAGCAAGCAAGTTTTTTCCCCTACTTGCAAGATTTTACCAAAGGCCAAACAGCATTTTGGCTCTTTCTTCCTAGTGCTTGCGCATGTGGCTTTTTATCTCCACAAACAAAACCCAAACCAAGAAGAGGAAAAGAAGAGAGACAAGTAGGTACATAAACATCCAAAGTGTAATATCAATTGTCAAGATTCGAGCTTTAAAGATACAACACGAGACTGTCGGTTGCGCTTAGCCGCCTTAACAAAGACTACTGATAGACAAGACGGCGCCCACCATGGCCGTCGAACTCTCTGCTCACCTTTCAAGCAAGCAACTGTCAAAAAAGCACATTTCTTTTCCTTCAGTCAAAATTTTCTCTAGCAACTTTAAGCCGAGGATAGAGAAAGAGAACCTTTGATTCTTCTGAGTTCTTTGCAGAGGGTGATGAAATCTCCCCATTTCATGTGATGCCTCCTTATGAACTGAAGGATCTGTTCGGTTGTAAAGACAGACATGCTTTCTAGATACTCTCCATTGACGCCATTTTCTTTGAAAATCAGACGGTAGCTCCCAAGTTTTATCTCCTCAAGCCAAGATCCAACATCCTGCAGTAGAACAAAAAATCTCCTCATCTACAAGTAGCCAGCTGGACATAGAACACAGACTATTCAAATAATCTAGAGCAGTAACTAAACCCATATATAAGTGGACTAAATTCCATCTCTATCTCAAGAAACATCTTCCTACAATCAGGCAGATGTTTTTTTTTATCAGTTTCCATCAACTAACCATTCACCCTTTTCAGGAGTTTTCTCTTTTGACTGAAAAGCAAAACCATTTCCGAGTAAATTCACATTAAAAAGACTAGATGAGCAATTGAGTTTGGTCTTTAAGTAGAAGAGATGTAGCAATTTGGAGCTTGTCTCTTATGTAATTGCAACCAATGGTTACACCCAAGGTTTTCAAAACCGGACCGGACCGGCCGGTTGGACCGGTCCGACCGTGACTCCTTCGGTTAGCCGAGTCCGAGTCAGTTCAAAAACCGGATTGGAGTTGAACCAGTAAAACCGCTCCAAAACCGTAAGAACCGGTGACCCGGTTTCAATGAAAAACCCGGTTTACATATTTAAATCTAGTTAGACCATTGTTTTTCGTTGATTTGTAAATTAAATAGAGTTACTCTGTTAGTTTACTTTGATTTAGCTAAATTTATTAGTAGATTTGATGTAACGAATGAGTATAAGTATTATGTGCATGAAATGAAAAAAGATGTAGATGATTTTTTTTACAGAAACTGGAATTCACGTAGAGATGGAGAAGAAGAAGAAATTTGGATAGGTGAAAACAGAAAAAAAATATTTGAGAATTTAAAGGTGAATGCATTTATGGTAGATAGAAAAGTCAATGGATCAATAATGTTAAGTTAATAGAATATCGGAAAATAGAAAGTATATATGCGTAATATAGGGATGATATATAACTCTATTAAACTATAACGTTTTAAAAGTGAAACCCGGTTAAACCGGTTAGACCGGGTTGAACCGTGACTCATATATTTTACTGGTTCATTGACCGGTCCGGTTTTCAAAACCTTGGTTACACCCTTAATGTAATAAGATATGGTCTTTGAATAACAAACATGACAAGTTATCCAACAACAACAACCCTTAAGGCAAAACAAGACAGTTAAGAGCTAAATTTGGCTGAATAATAGAGATCAAAATTTAAAAAAAAAAACATGATTTGACGAGATTCTGCAACACATAACAAGTCTAACGAAGGAGCTTCTCAAATCCAATAAACATTGGGAATTGAATTGAAATACCTCAACAGTCCAGATGAAGAAATCAAGAGGCTCAGGGGGATGATCTCTGCTTCTGCTCATTCTCGTCTCCTCTGCACAAAAGTCCCAATACAAATCCATCATTTTTTTAGTTTACTTGAAAAGCTCAAAACCAAAAAAAACAAAAAAAAACACCAATTCGTTATCTGATTAGAAAGAAAGCACGAAGCTTTACCGAGGAGACAGCTGTCTGAAAATAAGATCCGAAATTTAAGCTCTTTATTTTGAGTGAAAACTTCTTTGGGATCACAAAACGGGATTCAGCGTACTTTGCAGTGCTTGATTTTAGGGTTTCAATAGAGAGAGAGAGTGAGGAGATAATTAAATCTGCGCTTTTTTCTTTCTTCTTTCTCTTTTGCCTCTCTCTTACTATGGAGCTAGTTGGAAGATAATTAAAATTTGATTAAAAATCACAATTTGTCATGTAGTTAACATGCGATTATTAGTAAATGACAAAGTGGCAAGTGACATTGTATCTGGTTTGCCCCTCTCAGATATAAAATGGTTCCAATGGAACAAAAGAAATGAGCTAGGCAGACAATAAGAAATGGAAATATAAAATTCATAAGCTTTTTCAACTATTTAAATTAGTTCTATTTTTTTCTTTTTCAGTTCAGCTTATAGGCATGCAAATTACTATTCCCTCCATTTCTTTTTATATGATTTTTTTGTTTTATTGCGCAAAGACTAAAAAAATATACATTTTTCTATAAAAATTATTTTTAAAATAATTAATTTTCAAATCATTCAACCAATAAAAAAAAGGAAGTAAAATTTTATTAGTTAGAACAATTTTCAATAAAATTAATCTTAAAACTTCAAAACATCTCCTATATATTATGAAACGAAAGAAGTATTATACTATTTAATTAGAATCAAGCGAAGCTATGAAGGGAGAAAAAAATTGAAAGTATACAAAGAGCATTTGGTGGAAACCTGTTGAATGTTCATTACCAAACTCAAACCTGAGATACAAGTGATCATCATTAGTCATACACTCATACTGTACATTTAATCTGATATTTGGGGCCTAATCAAGGACCACAAAACTTCTCTTCTTTCCATGTAACCATCAGGACCATCACAACTCTCTTTGCTGACCTCATCTCCCTTCTCAATCTCTCCTCCCAAAATATATCACAATCCTCTCATGTAACTTGTTCTGTTTTTTTTTTTCACTTTCAACAAAGATCCATAAACAATGGAGTGAAAAGAGGTAACACACATAGCCCTTCTGCTTCTTCTGAGAAACTATGTGTTAGCAACATACAGTTTTAACACATTTTCAAAACACAAAACAGATAGAATAAGAACACATGGAAGTTGTTTTGATTAGCTAATCTGTTCTGACTTCAAAGGCACATAGTTTTCCATAGATACAAATACAATTAAATTTCCAAAATTGATCATTGCACACATATCTTGAACCTTTAATTCAAAGAAACTCAAAAAAGGAATGCAAAGTCAAGACTCGTCTTCACAGGCCTCTGCAGCTGAAATCTTAGAATCAAGATTGTTCATCAGAGTCTCTGACACATGCTTTGCCACAGAGATCATGTCAAGGATGACGCTGGGGTCTAAACCAGACCCGCCTCTTTTTGTTAACCCACAGATATGCCCCGCCCGGTTCACGGATATAGACACAGCTGAGCTCATCTGAGACTCCTCTTCCGCTGTAGCATCTACTATGTAATGATTCCCCACCTGATAAAACAAAGACAAGCATTTATATGCATGTCAGTAAACTTTACCTAAGAAGATGTACATGTGAAATCAAGATATGCTTACTTTAGTTAATGTGACTATGACAGGGACACTGGAAGTGTCAAACTGTTGATACTCTTCGTCACTGATGTCAATCTCTGGTTGCTCATCATCAGCCACTTCAGCAGAAACTTGGACTTTTGGTATAGCTGTGTTGGTTAAAGCAGCCTGCAGGAAGCATTAGTCAACATGTGCTTTAAAGCCTGGACCTAAAGAGTCAAGAGAAACAACTCATGAGAACTACCTTAATGGCAGCACCTAGGGCATCCAATAGATTTCCATCTGAACTAATGACAAGCCCATCTATGTAAAGGTCCCAGCATACTCTTCCTTCTTTGATCAAAAGCGAAGATAAATTTATACCAGCCCCTGCAAAACCAAAAAGGAAATTTGCAATGAACATTACAAGCTGAAACCGTAGCAATGTTCAGGTTAAAAAATGGTCACTGCATAAACATGATTACAAAACCTGCTCCGCTTTTGCCACCAAGAAGACATACTTGAAGAGCCAAAGCAAGCTCAGAAGACAACTCCTCACCTCCTCTCCCCTGATTAACAGCAAGTTACAAAGTATGAACCGTCTTAGAGAACTTAAGACCATAAAGCTTGAGACACAGAAGACAAGGCTATGAATATGATAACTAAAACCTCAGGGTGCACTACAAAGCTGTGATTCCAATTTAAAGACAGACCACAAGAGCTAGAGAAGAGTTGTGTCAACTGCTAGATAGAGGCAAAAACCAGGCCATAATCAAATAAAATCTCACCCCAAATGTAGGTTCTGCTGTTGGACTGCAATCAATGAAAACAGCAACTTTTCCTTTATCTGGTTGAAGAGAACTTGGCCTCCCAATCTCAGCCTGCAAAATTACACAAGTTCATTGTGTTTAACATTAACAGTAACACTTCTCAGTCAACAATAAAGAAAGTACCTTTACACTTGCAATGACATCAGTTCCACCTATCCTAACTCTTGCTGAACCATTAGCCTTTTAGAGCCAAACAAAACAACAGCAAAATAGAGTAAGCAAACATGACATTCCTAAACAGAAAAAGCTCAGGGAGATTACATTACATTACCTGCGGAATAACTCCGGTTTCGAGGTAGATGTCACGGTAAGTCAATCTTTTCCGACCATCAGTTCGAAGGTCTTGAGCAATCCCACCTTTAATGAAGTTTTGCTCCCCGACAGAAACTCCCACCATTACTACACACAGACAAAAACAACACAAACACCTTTAGTATCAGTTTCTGAATAAAGTATTTAACTTTAGACAAATCTTCTTTTTAACCTTCCTTGAGGATTAGATAGAAGACAGTACTCTGAAGTTCCCCCCGGCGACCGTAGCGGCAAGTTTGGATTGGTGTTTAGCTTAAAAGAAGCTGTGACAAAACTGCCGGTAGGGTTTAAAGATGGGGGCGTGAACGAAATAATTGACTTTTATTAAGGGTAATTTCGTCATTAACTGTTTTTACGTTCTTTCACTCTACTCACTGATAACTCTGCTAAATGATGTCCTTCCAAAACACATTTCTTCACTTCACTCATCTCATCTACCGCCAACGTGTAACCATTCTTTTCAGTCAGATACTCTATTGGTGCAGACTGTTATTATTGAAATCAAGAGAACAATATCTTCAAAAACAACACCTTCGATTATATATCTCAAATCTCAAACACAATTAAACTCTTCTCAAATCACACAATCCGTGACTTCAAAGTATGATATGCATAAGTATATATAATAACTTAAAACCTCCAAAACCTAATAGTAAAACACTTAGATAATTCCTAAATACTTTAGATAAACTCAAACAGAATAGGAATAGGTTTGACTTGTGTCTCAAAATAACTTCAAGCTTATCCAACATTCTCTCCCTTAAGTTTGACTTCATCTTTCACGTCTTGTACTCCAATTAACTTCCTCATTTCCATAAACCTGTGTCGACTCAGAGACTTTGTGAGAATGTCAGCTCGTTGCATACTTCCTGGAACATGCTCTACTTCAATCTGATCATTCTCCACACATTCTCTTATAAAGTGAAAACGTCTATGGATGTGTTTGCTTCGTCCATGGAACACTGGGTTCTTAGTGAAAGAGATTGCAGACTTGTTATCAACCTTTAAGACTATCTTTCTGCAATCGTTCCCTGCTACTTCACTCATCAACTCTTGAAGCCATATTGCTTGTTTCGCTGCTTCTGTGACCGCCATAAACTCAACCTCGCATGATGACAAGGCCACAATTTCTTGTTTCTGAGAACACCATGTTATGGGGCTGTTACCAAGATAGAAAACATGCCCAGTTGTGCTCTTACCATCGTCAGTGTCCACATTGTGTGAACTGTCACTGAAGCCTATTAACTATGGTCTTGTTGTTTGTGTAAAACGTAAACCAAGAGATGTAGTACCTCGTAAATACCTCAACACCTGTTTCAAAGCCGCACCATGAGATTCCTTAGGAGCTTGCATATACCTACTGAGCACACCCATAGAGTACGAGAGATCAGGTCTGGTGTGCAACAAGTAGCGTAGACATCCAATGCTTCTTCTGAACTCCTTTTCGTCTATATTTTCTTCTTGTGGTGACTTTGAAAGCTTTACATTCATGTCCATAGGAATATGAGTAGCATTGCAGTCACTCATACCTGTTTCTTCAAGAATCTTTCGAGCATATCTTTCTTGTGATAACACAATGTCATTACCTACTTGATGAACTTCAATCCCAAGGTAGTAGTTAAGTCTTCCAAGATCAGACATTTCAAACTTTCGTGACATCTCTTTCTTGAACTCAATAATCATCTTCAAAGACGAGCCTGTGATAAGGAGATCGTCTACGTAGACACACACAAGAAGAAGCTCCTTCTCCACTTCCTTCCTATAGAGAGATGGCTCCTTTGAACATCGAGTAAAACTAAGATTCTTCAGGATTCCATTGAGCTTAATATTCCAAGCTCTCGGTGCTTGTTTTAACCCATAGAGAGCTTTGTGTAATTTATACACCTTTTCTTCTTTGCCTTTTACTTCAAATCCCTCAGGTTGAGTTACATAAACTTCCTCCAATAGGTCTCCGTGTAAGAAGGCTGTCTTTACATCGAGATGGTGTACTTCCCATTGTTTTGAAGCTGCAAGTGCAATCACTAATCTTATTGTCTCCACTCGTGCTACAGGCGCAAATACCTCCTCATAGTCGATGTCATGGCGTTGAACATATCCTTTGGCTACTAACCGAGCTTTGTATTTGCTTATAGTCCCATCTGCATTCCTCTTTATCTTGAAACCCCATTTAAGTCCAATAGCTTTGAACCCTTTTGG